TGTCCATCTTTTCCGAGCTTGGCGTTCAGAAAAGCCCGACTGAGCAGATTGTCGCGAATTATTTGATCCTTGTGTGCCTCCATTTCCTCAATATCCCCTTGCGACACCATCTCATGTCAGAAGATAGGATCTTCAAGCACTGGAAGGGGACTTACAGTTTACACTGACTATGCCGCCGCGCATCCATTCGGCACGCGGAGTAGACAAGAAGAGTGTCCAGCTACCACTGAGGCCGGCGCTATCCTTAGCGTATGGCTTAAGCGAATCAACCGTCATGTCAGTCTGTACGATTCCAGGCATGAGTGAGAAAACGCGTATGCCCTGCTGTTCGGCGTGTAGGTTCTCCATGATGCGGACAAAGGCCAGCTTGGATGCCGAGTAGCTTGCCATACCCGGAAACACGGTGCCGATGGCGGCAGACGTCATGCTGATGACGGTACCGGACCCGTCCGCCTGTGCAAGAAAGTGGTGCATCATTAGGTACGACCCCAGCACGTTGACCTGGAAATCGTTGAAGAATTTCGTGGCATCGGTGGCGCCGATGGGACCCAATTCCAAACTTCCCGCGCTGTTAACCAGCACATCGACCTTGCCAACCGCCTCTTTGGCTGCGGCGAAAAGCGCCGCGACCGAGGCTTCATTTGTCATGTCGGCCCCATGGGCGAGAACTTTAGTGTCGGGTGGGGCGAGACTTCGGAGCCGTGTGGCGATGTCTTCAAGAACATCAACCTTACGCCCGGTAATCACGATACCAGAAGCTCCCGCGATAGCCCACGATTCAGCGATTGCCTGCATCTATTGGTCACGAGAGGAAAATGAACCCTCGGAAGCCGTGCTTACCTTGCCTATGCCCCCCGAAACGCCAGTAACAAGCACTGTCTTCCCCTTCGCTGACAGCTCCGGCTGGGTAGGCTCTAACAGTGGATAAACATCGCGACGAATTTGTTTGGTAAGTTGGTAAGGCCATGTGAAGGCGTTAGGGTCTGAATAATCCATCGCAGCTAAAAGTTCGTGATCTTTTTCTCACGGGCAGAAGAGATGAACCCGAGAATGCAGAGATGTAGAACTATGTATTAGCGGCCGCTCTGAGCGGAAGGATGTTACGGGAGGCGTGTGTAGGACGCTGTGGACCCTACAGCAGCCTGTAAGCGTTGTCTGGCCTTGTGGCCACTACACTTACTCCTATGCATGTAACAGAAACACATTCATTTAATGAAGGTTTTGGCAACCACTAGATGCCCTGTAATCTTAGTGAGATTAAAGTGCTATGAACGCTATACTTATAGCGCACTTAGCGCATCACTAAATTCAAGAAAATTTATACCGCTAAATGCCTTATAATTATAGCGCTAACCCTAACCCTCCTAACCCTTGTGTAACAGAAAAATTCAGGGTTAGGGTTAGGGTAAGCGCTGTAAGTTTAAGGCACTTCCGCTGTAGAAACTTTGAATTTAGTGGTGCGCTAAGATCACTATAATTATAGCGCTTATAGCGCACTTATCTCACTAAGTTTACAGGGGATTTAGTGGTCAGAGGAAACTTCATTAAATAAATATGCACCCCTTACATGCATTGGAGTAAGTGTAGTGGCCACAAGGCCAGACAACGCTTATCGTCCGCCGTCGAGACGGACTCCACTCACACGTCACTTAATTCCTCAACTCGCACTATAACGTAATTCAGAGAATTCTACCCCTTACAGCTACGTCCCTTGTTATGATATTAGTCAGGAGGTCAGCCTTTGTCTGCCCTATTGGATCACCCTACGGATGTTGTTGTTCATTAAAAGGAACATTTGCATTTGTCGGCCTTCCTTGGAGTTGCTCGATAAAGAAGAACTAGTTCCTTTTATTCCTATTTCTATCTAACATTTTTCCTTTCCCATTGGAGACCCGAATACCAACTCAGATACTGATTAAGGAGATGGCGGGTACGTACAACTTTGGCTATATTGACGAGAAGATTTACACCAGCAATATCACCTACACCGCTGTCGACACCCACATCACTATTCCGGGCGGCAAGCTGAACTACGCCCCTATAATCAAATACGGAAACATTTGTGCCGGTTCGATCTAGCCACAGACCGACTTTGACTTCGCTATCCTTGGTGATGCCACTTTCAACGTGGCCTTTGTCGTCTTCGATGCCGCACCGAAGATTGGATTTGCCTCCAAGCCTGAGTAGGCAATGTGGAAGCTAGCAAATCAAGGGAGCGGAGAGACAGCACAACTAGATAGGGTCTTCACTGGACAGATGAAGCCACTAGTCTCATGGACATCCAGGTGTGAATGATTCAATCATGCGAAAGGTAACTAACTACCTACCTAGGTAGGTACACAAGCGTAACGGTATGGTCGAAAAAGTAACGTGGTATTGGGTTGACTATGCCGGCCTTGCTTTAGCTAATAAAGTTCCATACTTCGAGAAAGTATCCTCCCCCGGTGGTGTAGCAATGAAACTATTCGCACACAAGTTGGTTTTTCTATCGAAAACACACACTACATCCGAACCCCCAAAGAGAAACGTCGAAATCTCTTGACCCTTACTTACCATTTGACCTTTGCTTACCAAAAGCTTGACTCCCGCAACGAGTGCCATGCCAATTGGTAAAACGGCCACTTTGCCCACGGTTGGATTATCGACGATGATTACACCGCGGGTCTGTAAGAATTCCGTAGACGATGTTAGTTGCGTGTGATGCACGAGCGAAAGAGAGGAGATACAGAGTCGAGCATGGGAGCCAGCATGTTTTGAAATGTTAGCTACCTGTAGGTAGGTAGATACCTAATTATTTGAACGAAAATAAATAACGCAATGGGCTTCACTTACGAAAACCACCTTGATCCGGAATTTCAGGACGGCTTGGATTCCCATCGGAATCTATCTCGACAAACACAGAACCCTGAATGACCTTGGCTTCAAGCACCTTTCCGGCCACTGGGGCATGTTGGCGATGATAATTGAAGGTATTCAAGAACACATGCATCCAAATACCACCGTGGAAGTCGTCTGCATATTCGCTCCCTTGGAGTAGTGAGTCAATACTCCAAGGCAGACCTTTAATAACCATTGTACCCGTAGATGAGATCTCAGCCATATGATCGGCTACTGACGTGTCGAACTTGGAATCTGAAGGATAGACGATAACCGTATCGTCGTCGGGACTATCGATGGGCCTCGTGCCATGCTTCAGACGACGAGAGAAAAAGTCATTAAAGGTCTTCCAGCCACCCTTGGGAGGTTGCGCCTCGTCAATGTTATAATGCTTGGCACGTTTAAATGACTCCAAGGACTCTTCTGTTAGAGAATCTGGAGTGTCCATCCAGAGACCTATGAGTTGCGAATACACGACGAGCCAAGACGAGAGCCAAGCCAGCGGCCGATCGACAGCATTCGGGATGATGGGTGTTTGCAATTCGACGAGGGGATCTTGATTAAATACGAAGTAGAACATGCAGATAACATTGTAGATATCTCTCCCTTCGCTTCCCTTGTGGGGGATCCATCTGAGCAAGTCATCTGCAAATCGAAGAAACGAGTTGGCGTTTGTTATGTTAAAGGCCTTTAAAAATTCGGGAGTCTTCCGATAAGCGGCCTTGACGGCGCGATCCAATGCATCTGGTACAGGAGACCTTTCGAGGTAGCCGATCAACACAGCGACTATGGGGTTGAGCTGGGCAGATAACCCAGGAGCACATGGAATAAGTGGTTGTTCGCATGTGCGATTGTGAGCGATGGTAAGAACCCTTGACATCTGGGTATAGCGCGACGTATACGATATGAAGAATGTGCAAGTAAGAATCGTGGTAGAGTATGAGTCTAGAGTTCAAACTGGAGATGGAAATAGAGTAAACAGACCTAGGACCAAGATCAAAGCGGATTTATATATTGGTGAAGATAGCGATGACTTCATTTTGTCCGATATTCCCAGGAGATTCCATCTCCAAAGGGATGTATGAGAGCTCTCCTGAGATTCACAAGACTGCCTCCCAAGTGCTTGCCACGGCCGCTTCTTGTCCGTCCACTGCAGAGGTCCTTGCATTCTCAATTGAAACCCAGTGCTACGACATACAGCCAAGGCAAAATGGTCGTCCAAATTAAGATCTTACATAGCTGAACCTGGTCGTTTCTCTTGTCATCGCTGTCTCTCAAAAAGCCATGTGGAACCTTCAACGTGGTTGACTCGTGTAGAAGTGGCTGGGGAGCTGCGGACTTGTTTCTGGTCACTGCCTCTGCCATTGTCTCTGCCTGTCTCTGTCTCTGTCTCTGTCTCTCTCCGTCTCTGGCCTGACGTATCGGATTGCTGGCCGGTGTCATTATTGCATCACGGCCCAGTTTCTCGATATTAAGACAGAGCAAGCCAGAGCAAGACACGGGATCGGGCCGGTACAGTATGATGAGGGTGGCGGCATACATTTGCATATCTGGACCGAAGGAATACGAACTTATAGCCTGACGAACTCATTGATGTCTACGTCTACCTGTGCAGGCGTTCATTACGCGTAGAGAGGACGATTTATGTGACAGCTGCTTAGGAGCTGCTGATGAGTGCGGTAGCTGTGGTGCTGTCTGTAGCAGCGGCAAATGATTGAATTACCTATGTATGTAGAGACTGTAGATAGATATGAAAGGCAATGAATAAGATCCTCTAAAGGTAGGGAGGTATTTGTAGGTACCTCTCCAACTAGAAATGTCAAAAGGAAAGTCAAGAGTCAAGTATGGCGATTGTCTTTAATGTTGGTTTAGTAGAGGAAGAAATTCCCCACGCCAACACAGCCACATTAGCATCTCGGTCTGGTGGGGTAGTGATGGTGGGGGTCAGCGAAAAAGAAAGTCAAAAAGAAAGCGCAGGACTAGGAAATCACGGAAATAACAACTCTGCTCTTGCTGTGTTTGAAAAGAGTACCTAGGTATGCGAGACAATTATCGTCAAAACATAACAGCACCCTAAACTTATCTTCCATTCCAACAAACTCAACACTGGCAAAAATGAAATTCGACACCTGTGTGATTCGAACACACGCCCCCGAAGGGAATGCCTTCACTACTTCGTGATATTCAATTCACCACCTGGAAGAGGTTGGTGATGTTGATACACTATACATAGCAGGGCATCGCGTTAACCACTCCGCCAAAGTGCCTTGTGATTAGGGAAGGTACCATTTAGTAGGTGGGGCACCCTATTATGGGAATGGCACGAAACAAGTCGTGCGCTCCTTCCAATTGTTGAAATTTTGGCATTTTTCAGGGCTATTATAGTAAACTTTGACCTGAACAAGGTAATTGGTTCTTGCCTTGGGAGTTGTGGAGTTACTATGTATGTATTCCGTACATAGGAGTGTCCACTTGTCCACTGTCTAGGTACAGTACGTACTGTAAATTACTACGGTAGAATAGGTAGTATCGATAAGCAATTGCCCCGCGTTCAAATCACTCCCCGAATCGCTCAAGTTTGACTCACGCGGAAATTTTGGCGGGGCTTTTCGGGTTCAATCTTCAACCTTCCACTTCAACTTCGACATTCTTTCTTCAATAAAGGCTCATATTCCCACTCGATCGAATTGTAACTATTGGAAGGCAGTCGCATATTCGTCGAGATGAGCATCAACTTTCCCCTGACCGAGGAAGAGACTGTGCGCTTCTGGCGCGAGGTCGATGCCTTCCAGACCCAACTGAAGCTTACCGAAGGTCGCCAACGCTTCACCTTCTACGATGGTCCCCCTTTCGCAACTGGCCTTCCTCACTATGGCCATCTCCTCACCTCTACTATCAAGGATATCATACCGCGATACTGGTCTATGAAGGGTTACCATGTAGTTCGTCGATTTGGCTGGGATACGCATGGTCTTCCTATCGAATACGAGATCGACAAGACCTTAGGTGTTTCTGGCCGCGATGCCGTAATGCAGATGGGAATCGAAAAGTACAATGCCGAGTGCAGGGCTATCGTTATGAGATATGCTGCCGAGTGGCGTCAAACTATCGAACGTCTAGGTCGCTGGATAGACTTTGACAATGGTAAGTTTGTCTGTTCTTCCCCCCTATGTCATCGGTGGAGATTGACTTGATATCTTTGCACAAGACTACAAGTCCATGGATGTCAACTTTATGGAATCCTGCTGGTGGGTTTTCAAACAGCTCTTCGACAAGGACCAAGTCTACCGCGCCTATCAGATCATGCCCTTTTCAACTGCTCTCTGCACCCCCCTGAGCCATATGGAATCGAAACAGAACGAGAAGACGACGCAGGACCCGGCCGTCTTAGTTGCCTTCCCCGTAAAAGGAGGAGACGCCTCTCTGATCATATACACCACCACACCCTGGACCTTGCCATCCAATCTCCTCATTGCTGTCCATCCCGACTTCGAGTACGTCAAGATCGTGGATGAGGAGTCTGGCAAGAAGTACATCCTGCTCGAGAGTGGACTATCGATGTTGTATAAGGACAAGAAGAAGGCAAAGTACAAGATTGTAGAAAAGCTTCGGGGAAAGGACATGATTGGTTGGAAGTATGAACCCCTATTCCCTTACTTTGCTGAGCAGTTTGAGGACTGTTTCGAGGTCATCGGTGCCGACTATGTCGAAGCAGATGAGGGTACAGGTCTTGTTCACCAGGCTCCCGCGTTTGGTCAGGAAGATTACGACGCTGCGGTTGCTGCCGGCTTCATTCGTCCTGAGCGCTTACCTCCATGCCCGGTCGATGATAAGGGACTCTTCACAGCCGAAGTGACCGAGTATGCCGGCCAGCATGTGAAAACCGCCGACAAGGCCATCGTCCGAGACCTCAAGGACACCGGTCGTTTGTTGGTTGCCACACAAGTGTCCCACGTTGACAAGTTCTGCTGGAGATCCGACACCCAGCTTATCAGAAAGGCCGTCTCTTCTTGGTTCATCCGCGTTACTAACTCTATCCCGGATATGCTGAACAACCTTGAGTCGACCACGTGGGTCCCCTCGTTCGTGAAGGAGAAGAGATTTACAAACTGGATCGCCAACGCACACGACTGGAACATTGCGCGAAACCGTTACTGGGGCACACCACTCCCCCTATGGGTTAGCGATGACTATGAAGAGGTTGTTTGCATAGGAAGCATAGCCGAGCTGAAGGAGCTGAGTGGATACACTGGCACATTAGATGACATTCATCGAGACAAGATTGATGGAATTACGATTCCCTCCAGGAAAGGAAAGGGTCAACTTCGTCGCGTTGATGAAGTTTTCGACTGCTGGTTCGAATCTGGTAGCATGCCATACGCCTCTAACCACTACCCCTTTGAAAACTCGGAAAACTTCCAAGGCGGTAACTTCCCCGCTGACTTTATCGCTGAGGGACTCGACCAGACCCGTAAGTATCTGTCTTTCGCATTTTATCTATCTTTTCTACTTCCGTCAAGAAGCCCGATCACTGACGCCGACCGATTTCAGGTGGCTGGTTCTACACCTTGAGTGTTTTGGGAAATAAGCTCTTTGGGGTCTCGCCATTCCGAGCAGTGATTGTCAATGGCCTAGTTTTGGCAGAAGACGGCAAGAAGATGTCCAAGAGTTTGAAGAACTACCCGGATCCCAAGACCGTCATAGATCAATACGGTTCTGATGCGCTACGACTCTACTTGATCAACTCCCCGGTCGTCCGCGGAGAACCCTTACGATTCAAGGAATCCGGAGTCAAGGAGGTGGTAGCAAAGGTGCTTCTACCTCTGTGGAACAGTTATCGCTTCTTCTCTGAGCAGACAGTCTTGTTCAAGAAGACTACTGGCAATAATTTTGTCGCTCAGTCCCCAAAAACTACCAACGTCATGGACCGATGGATCCTTGCAGACTGCCAGAGCATGCTGCAATTCATTGACCAGGAGATGGCTGGTAAGTCTATATGACGTGTTAAAGCTAGACTCTTCGCTAACGATATGCTTAGGCTACCGCTTATACACCGTCGTGCCACGGCTACTTCAGGTTATTGACAACTTGACGAATTGGTACATTCGTTTCAACCGCAAGAGGCTAAAGGGTGCTGCTGGTCTTGACAGCAACGATACCAAGGCCGCCTTAGACACGCTATGCCAAGTGCTCTTTACTTTAGTTCGAGCTCTAGCGCCATTCACACCCTTCCTTACGGAGCATATCTATCGCCTTCTACAACCATACCTAGGCGATGCACTCTCGGAATTCCCCAACTCAAAGAGTGTGCACTTCCTAGCGTTCCCGACTGTGCAAGAATCACTCTTCGATGAGGTGATCCAAAGAAAGGTGTCTGCCATGCAAAAGGTGATCCAACTGGCACGAACAGCCAGAGAGCGCAAGACCATCCCGTTGAAGACACCTCTACTTACGCTTGTGGTCATTGCCGACGCACAACAACTCAGTGACATTGAGGAGCTGCAGACATACGTGAAAGAGGAGTTGAACATCCGAGACATCATCCTGACGAACGAAGAGGAGAAATACGGAATTCACCTCGAGGCCAAGGTCGACTGGCCGATTCTAGGCAAGAAGCTGAAGCGTGATGCGCAAGTCATCCGCAAGGCTCTACCAGATCTGTCACAAGAAGAGCTCCGACAGTACCTGAAGGAGAAGAAAATAACCATCAAGGGAATTGAGCTAGAAGGCAGTGATCTCACCATCGTGCGAGTTGTCGCCAAGGACAGCCCGAGCGTGGCGAAGGAAGAAGGAGTACAGTACGAGCCTGCCTTCTTAGATGACATGATCATCCTCTTAGATACGGCCTCGCATCCGGAGCTGATCGAAGACGGTATCGCTCGCGACATCATGACTAGAGTACAGAAGATGAGGAAGACGGCTGGCCTGGTTCCTACCGACGATGTTCGCATGCAGTATAACGTTGTTTCGAACCCTGACGAGGTTGCTTTCGATGCTTTGGTGTCAACGAGGAAATCTCAATTCGAGAGCACGGTTCGCGGTCCGCTTGAGCCCTTCTCGCCTGCTGAAGCGGCGGCCGAAAAGGTTATATTGGAAGAAGAGCACGTCCTCAACAACCTCACGCTATTGCTTAGACTCTGTCGACTAGATTAGATAGGGTACGCACACCACGAAGCAGTAAAAGAATAAAGAAATGTCACAAGGTCAGGATGATATGCTCAACAGGTTCGGAACGAGTCCTGTTCTCCTTATGAAGATCGCGTGGGTTAGGAATGCGTAGTCTCAACGTTGGCGACAGATCGGGCTTGTGTAGCCCTACAGATGTCACATAAGTGAAATAGGCACAGCCGAGCTGAGTCGGAGATACGAGGCACATTTAGATTCCAACGCGCTTGGTGTTTCGATGGACCCGTGTGTTCTACGCCCCTTCAACTAAATAGATATCCGAATTCACTGCCTAAATTTGCAGAGGTCACTGCACTCGCAACCGTAAAAATATTGCAGCCTTTTTCTCCTTTAGCTTAAGTTATCCTGATTACTGATTACATATAACTACCTAGGTACCTGGTGAGCTCCATTTCTTCTCCAAGTCAGCCCAACGTAGTATATGATCCTTATTTGGTATACAAGAAGAGATACAATATGTGAGAAAAGACAGTGGCATCTGTAGGAGAACACGGTGAGAATATAGACCGAGCTAGAAGTTGAAACAAATGGTGTTTGGAAGTGGGTTGAATGCGATACGCGTCCCCAAGCAGTGGCGTGTAGAAGTACAACTTAAAGATTGGGATGAAGATAGATGATATTTTATGATTTATGTCTACTTACTATATAGGTCACAGGTGTAAAATCGTTATCCTACATTGATATCCATAGGTAAAACGATAGGCCTAATATCATTTTCAACATCAGATGCTAAAGGTTGAAAGCAGCACGATGTAAAATTGGAAAGGAAGAAAAAAGAAACATGTGACAGGGGTAAGGTGTTACGGATGGCCGACCTTAATTTAGTACAGGTAACACATAGTGGGTGACAGAAGACCCCTGCAGGTACTTACTTACACTTAGTTCGCTGCAGGAGCACCGCATTGTACATGACAGTTTGGGTTGCCTTGTACCAGTACTAATTCGTAGTGACCCTCGAAATGGTACCTCGCAGTTGTTAAGGGAAAGCTTATTAGCCTCTTGAGGAAAGCGAAAAAAAGGAGTTGACTCCTCCTACTGTAACGAACAAGTTGCTAAACTGTCTCGTCACCATCCTTTTTTT